GGGCTTATAATTAAACTTATTGATTTGTGCTTTTGGAACAACTAGAACAATATATTGCAGTATCAGAATGTTCGATTTTCGAAAAGTGGGATGCCAGCTCAAAAAATCATTTTTTTTGTTTTATTCGAAAACCGTTTCGAATGAAGCAATATCACTTTGGAACAATGTGGTACAAAGTCAGAACAATCTGGAACAACTTTCAAAATTATAAATTTCAAAAAGTGGGGTGCCAACTTCATATACTTCGCCCTTGTAGGCCCCGCGGAGCCACGAGAACGGCTTTCGGCGCGACGGACGAGCCTCCCCGACGCGTATTATCGAAATCTCATTCTTGATTAAAGCAAAATTAATTTAGTAATTATTTTGTTTATTGCTTTGTGCACTCGCGTGTGCCTTCTCGCCTCCAGCTCCTCGCTCCCGACGCGCGTAAGCTCTCGCGTAAATTCGTAAAGTGAAAGAATCCAGCCCATAACGGTATATAACATTAAAAACGTTACAGCTTATATGATGAGCTTACGATAGACTTGCGGATAGACAAGCTCATGAAACACTCGAGACAAGTAACATTTGCTTGAATGTATGCATAATGGATTTTTCTGCGTGCGCTGAAACAATCAGCTGTTATTGGCAGATCAATTAGCGATAACACACCTTAATCGTCGCTCGCGAATTATTCAATACCTGACAGACATTTAAACAGTCAATCGCGCAATCGCTCAAGAGGGAGGAATTAACCAATGGACTTGGTATTAATCATTATTGATAGACTCAGTAATTCACTCGCGAGATCAAACTCGACATAATCAATCCGAGATCGATCGTGGCGTTTTCGCATCAGAATTTTCGTAATCTCGCTCAAACCGCGAGAATATTCCGCCGAAGTTTTATCCCATTCAATACGCGCGAGTGTAACACAAAGCTAGCCGCGCGTGCCGAAGGTAGCGCGACCTTCAACGCGTCGCGTCGCACGCACTTGAGCTCTCACGCGTCACAACAAAGCTCGCCGCGAGCAAGTGAAGACGTCGCACGCTGCCGCTCCATTCTTGTTTTCGTCAAACTAATGCTGCAATCTAAGCAGAATCGTAAGTCTCGTAACTTGTTCTCGTAAAATTCGCCAGAACTTATGAGTAGATTTATAAGTCTATGTAATATCATATGTCGTACAATTACTCGTAAATATCTACGATTTCGTGTACGATATTTACGATATTCGTTTACGATATTTACGAACAAATCGTAAGTAACGAGACTTACGATTCTGCTTAGAATTGCAGCATAAAACTGATTCCAAATGGAAAAATTGATTCATGTCGCGCGTCATCGAGCTGCAGTCGTGTCGAATAATAGGAGTATCGTGTGATCAATAAGGTATTAATCGTAATAAATAATTGCGCAGCCTGATAAATAATCGTCACGCTCAGATCGTCTTTTAAGTGTAAATGAGGAAAATATATCTCCAGAATTTCCGTCTCCTTAAATCATCTTTCTAGAATAAAGCGCATTCTAGAATTTTCTTTTTTTATTAAATTATCTTTCTAGAATAAGACGTGTCTTTGCCGCTGTAACTCTAATCAGAAAAATTATTTTCTGTTCCAGATCTGTGTGCAGGAACTTTTTATCGCGAAAGCTACAATGCAGCTCGATGCAGCCGGAGGCTGGAGGATTTCATTGAAGCTGAACAGAATCTCCTCGAAGGTGAGCCTTGCAAATTTTTTGTGCTTCGTTTAACTACGTGTATTATTCGGAAAATTGTCGCGATTACGGAAATATACAAGCTGTGGTAATTTCATGATTATTTGTAGTCGTGATTTTCACGTTATTTATGGTAAAAAAATATTTAATAACTTTTATTAATTAAAATATAAAAAATAGGACTTTAACAGTCAAACACGGATCTTATAGTGCTATAATACAAATATATTTACAAAGAAAAATCCAAGTTAGATATAATATAATAATTTACCAAAATTTACAACAATTTAAGTTAGATCTAACATAATAGTCCAGACGTTTTGAATCCTCTTTGAGAGGATTCAGTTGACCCAAAACGTCTAGATTATTATGTTAGATCTTACTAACTTAAATTTTTGTAAATTATTATATTGGATCCAACTTGATATTTTCTTTGTAAATATATTTATGTTATGGTACTATAAAATCCGTGTTTGGCTCTTAAAGGTTCATTTTTTGTTCATCAGAACTTTTTTCAAATTTTTTATTTTATTAATTATTTCGACATTTGTATATTCGAGGTTGTGTTATAATTTTATTATAATTATTAAACTAAAATTTTGTATTAGTTACTCAACAAATAATTGCGCATTCACAGCTTTAGTTTTAAATGAAACTAAAAGAATATTCGAGTCTAGTACAAAATGGCATTTGCCATTGGGATTTACGTTTCGCGGTGCCACAGCTAATTTGTCAATATCATTTTGATAAAAGTCCGCAGATTTCGATATTCCGCCGTTCGTCATATGCGCAATTATTCATGGAATGGCCGATATTAAATCTTAATAATCGGTGACTGCAGGGGAATGCGATGAGCTTTATTGCGACGCGTACGTTAAATAATCCAGCGTCATAATGTAATGTAAAATATTAATATTCCAATGCAATGCACGTTAACTGATCAAATCAAGCGTGTAACGCTGCTTTCGTGTACTCACGCGTGTCATTGTTGTTACGAAAGTCGCTCGACCTCTGAATCAATAACAACCATCAACGCGTAAATACTACGCGCGTTTATGAACATATTTTTTCACGCGGAACCGAATGCCACGTACGATGTCACGCGTCATTTCCGAATTTCTTAAATCGGTCGGATAGCATGCGAAAGTAACACAGTACAAAGATTTTGTTATAATTAAAATTATTTAATCAAATAATATGTAATAGATTATCTAACACCTAACATAATTATCTAACATCAATAAATTAACTAATCAATTAAGCAATGATAGATTTTTTATGTTTTTCAAACAACTAATCTGCACAGAGAGGCAATGCAGCGGATAAAATATACGCATACGCTGTAAGTGGTGCGCGCCTCTCAAAAAGACCATTATAGAAAAATTATTTCATGTTACTTATTTATCTTTATTTTGAGGTTGTAGCTTAAAAGGTTCAAGCTTTTACTTAAGTTATTTTTTTGAATTTCTATAACGTCTCATTTTTTGTAAACAACTTAAAAAATGGTCAAAAACGATTTTTTTTACGAGTTTGTTTAATCCGGTTTTTCTCATAAATCTGACGTGCTGAAACATTTTTGACCTTGTAATTAACGGAAAAAACTTATCAGAATCATCTTTTACTTTTCATTTATCCAAAATCCTTGTTGCACAGTATAATGCGCGCTAATATGTGAACGCTAATATGCCGTAACTGACAAAGACACACTCTATAAAGTACTTCTCTCTCCCTTTTTCTTACTAACAGGCTGATGCACCGCACGAAACTCGACGTCACGTATGTCACTCGCATCATATTATCTTCCTCTTTCTCCCGATTATCATTGTGTTTCTAATTTTTGTTCGAAAAATCCGACGATCGCCCGATTCTATTGCTATTTGAACAAGTCGATGTTATTAGCAAGCGTAAAGCCTGATCTACAATATGCTCTTTGCGTTCTGTTTTTTGTCTTTTATCTTTTTCTGGCTTAAAGCTTAAGGTTTGAATCAGAAAGAGATAAAGACAAAGAAGCAGGAAGCAAAGAGCATATTGTGGATCAGTCTCAAGAAATGTCGATTCGACACATCGCGACAAGCACCGGTCGTATATCGCATCGCGAGAAAAAACGAGATGATTATTTACTAATAACGTTCTTACATGATACGTCCCGGCGATCGCACATCGCTATTCTCGACATTACCGAGACTTATTAACGTGCGAGACTCACTTTCGACGAATAATAGACGCGAGAAACGCGAAGCGATGTGGATCGATGTCAATGTGTTAATTTGGATAGGCAATTCGCGCATGCGCGACGATTAGCATATCAAGAAAGTATCATTCGCCTTAGATACTTTCTTAATACGCTAATTGCCTATCCAAGCTAACAACACTGATTGTTGTGTGTCCATGGCTGCTGCTTGGCGCGAAAAGAGCATTTTGCGCAATTCACTACCAACGCTTAGATTGAATAACCATGATGACAACCTCGTAGTTTAAAACAAATGCGATTGGTCTACAGCGGTTAGTGACTCGAGCAAGTAGTTAAGGTGTCCGCCGTACAGATCGCGTCGTCGTACACGCGACTCCGTTCACATTGCAGGCGCGTTCACATTCATGCACTTTTGGTACTTTCGGCGCGTTAATGAACTTTCGGTGTACGTGACTGTACGCGCGTTTGCGATCCTTTCGCATTGAGCAACCGCCATGAACACATCGCTCCGTATTTCATGCGTCTTTCGCCTGTCTCCTGTGAGTCTTCTGCGAGAAATAAGTATCAGAGTATCGAAAACAACGACGTGCGGTCGTCGAGAAATATTGTGAGTACATTATTACGGAGTGATCTCCTCGCTTCTCGACACATACAGCCGGTGCTTGTCGCGACGCGTCGAGTCGAATCGATGTCTCTTATACTTGCTAATAACATCGACTCGTTGAAGCAGCAACAGAATCGGACGATCGTCGGATTTTTTGAGCGGAAATTAGAAACACGATGATAATCGGGGAAATAAGAAACACGATGATAATCGAAGAAAAGAGGAAAGTAATATAAGGCGGGTGAAATACGTGACGCCAAGTTTCGCGCGTCAGCCAGCTAGTAAGAGAGAGAGAGGGAGAGAGGAGCATAGAGCGCGTCCTTGTCGGTTGCGACATTCTCCACATAGTGGCGCGCATTATCGGCGTACTTTATCGACTGCGTAGCCATCTTGATTTTCTATCTTTTCGCATCGAGCAACCGCCGTGAATATATCGATCGACATCGCTCCGTATTCCGCACCTATTTCGCCTTGCGGAAATAAGTATCAGAGTGTCGAAAACAACAACGCGTGATCGTCGGGACGTATTGTAAGTACATTATTACGGAGTAATCTCTTCGCTTTTCGACACATATAGTCGGCGCTTGTCGCGACGCGTCGAGTCGACGTCTCTTACGCTTGCTAATAACACCGACTCGTTCAAGTAACAATAGAATCGGGCAATCGTCGGATTTTTTGAACGAGAATCAGAAACACGATGATAATCGGGGAAAAGAGGAAGGTAATATAAGGCGGGTGACACACGTGACGCCGAGTTTTGCGTCAGCTTGTTAGTAAGAGAGAGAGGGGGAGGGAGAGACAGAGGTAACTTTTAGAATATGTCCTTATTAGCTGCGACGTTCATATAGTGGCGCGCATTTTCAGCGTGCTTCATCAATCGCGCGGCGGAGAAAAATTTATCAGAATCGTCTTTCACGTGTCATTTAACATGAGAAAACTAAAAAATGTTTTACACTATAATTGACGGTATTTCGCGTGCACGATCGTCGTGTCAGGGATCTTTATGAACATTGACAGCATATTGAAATTTAAAAGGTGACTACCAAGTTTTCGTTGGATTCGTTGAATTTGAAATAGAAATGGTCGATTCTCGCGTGCTTGATAGTTCCAGATTGAATATTTCCGTAATCTCGACTTGTCGAAACCGAGTCCTTCGTCGCTCTGTATTTAATTAGGGATATTATTTTCTGCTTTAGATTTGCGAGATGAAACCGACCCAGAGGACGGTGGACATGGTTACTGCACCGGAGGATCCGGTTCGGACCGAGCAGAGTCGGTTCGAAGGTACATTTATGAGTTCTTTGTATTTTTCTTCTCAACTCTTTGAGTACAAACTCGAGATGTACCCAACAAGATACCAAATTAAATTTATGATTATATTTATGACAATATGATATATAGTTACATAGAGTGTTGTAATGTATCTAGATACATTTATTAATTACAGTGGATATATTTATCTAATTACAGTAAATATATGTATCTAATTACAATATCTAGATATTTTTTGTATGTTTTTATTTGTAACTAGTCAGATTTTTCATTTCAATAACTGTATCTGTAACTAATTTTATTTTACCTTGTATCTGTATCTAAAATATTAAATTTAAATACAGATATAAAATAAAATGAGACATACTAGTTAAAGATAAACAACAAATATCTAAATATTATAATTAGATAAATGTATCTATTATAATTAGATATATTTCTATTGTAATTAAATATTTCTATTGTAATTAAATAAATGTATTTAGATACCATTACAACACTGGTTATATATATGATTATAATGATGCGAAGGATTAATTCGTTCCTTATTCTGTGTATGTTGCATCTAATTAACAAAGCTATTCTCTTTTTTATTCCAGATTGTATCGCAGAACGTGGCCGACTCTGTTCTACTGTGATTTTGGTAAGTGAACGATAGAAAGGATTACTACGAAATTTAACCTCTTCAGGCACAAATTAATAAGTCGGGACAGAGTCCCGTCCGTATATAGCAAAATTGCTTAACTTTTAAGTGACATTTCATAATATCTGTTAGTCACGACGAAAATTTGCCTTTTTCCGTTTGAGAATGCCGATATGAATATTTATTCGCGATAATATTCCTCATATCTCTCTGTCAACGATATCTGAATTTTAAATCAAAGAATACACATTAACATATATGCACATACCAATGTCTCTGAAGAAGTTAAAGTTGTTGGTTTTTACAGGTGGTGGTTTCGAACCAATGCGATTTGAATAGCTCATAGATTGTTGCATGTGTATTTGTTTGTGCTGTCCAATAAAATATGTTGCTCGGAACAATCGGGAAATCGCTTCTTCGCTTAATGGTGATATTTAAAAAAGATATTTATATAAAAATTATATTCTATTTATATTATTAGAATTTATATTCTATTTTACATTTTTATATAGAAATTCTACAGCAATATATACATACATAGTAAGGTTAAAGGCGTTACAAACTATTATCTCTAAAACTGAGGGAATTATGAAATTTTCTGTTTTCGTCAACCGCGTTTAGTATCACAGGTAACATCATTTAATGAAGTTAGTTTTTTTCTAGATGGAGTCTTATTAAGACAAATTCAAAGACACTTCAATTTTTCAATTCAGCATCATAGTCTGTAACACACTTTCGTTATTTTACATCTCGTGTATATATATATACACATATCGTAGAACTTTTAGTAGTAAAATTATTTATTGAAAAGTATTTATTGAAAAATAGCAAAAGTTCTACGATATGTATATATATATATATATATATATATATATATATATATATATATATATATATA